TCAAATCCAAGCGCTCACAGCCTAAGTGAGTGAACGCCTAAAAGGTATGTAAAACTCTATAACTTAGACTACAATAACAACATAAGAATGATTGCTTTTCACACAAATCGCCTCAAAATGCATTTCAATGCTATTAATATTCGGCAATTTGTGGCAAAATATTTACTTTTATTAATCAAAAAACAATTTACAAATTATTTAAAATTCAACTGATATTATGAACAATAAGTGAGTTACGAAGTCTATGGGTTTAAAATTTGTTACTAGCTGAGAATAAAAACAAATGCCATTAAATACTAGAATAATGATAATAATAATAATTAGTCTCTTTCTCTACAGAGAGTTCTTATTATTCGTGAATATCGTGAATATCGAGTTCAATGCGAAAGTTTGACAAATCGTCGGTTCCCACGAGTTTGAGGTTCTGTTTCAATACAATTAACCATTAAATACACTAATCATTGATTCAATATTGATAATCATTCGCACGAAACATACCCTTTCATTGCATAGATGGAGGAGTGTTACGAAAGCTATGGGTGCGCTCAGATTCTGGGACATGACTGGAGTGATCTTATGTGGCAACGTTTTGTACAAATTGGTGAAATTTAGATCCGGCTGAGTGTTAGGCACAGTATTCATCTGAAATGAGTTTCAATGCGATTAGTAAGCAATATATACACTAGTCATACAACTACTTTGTCCTCAAACTACAGTACATTATAGTATATCTTTTGAATTAAAATTCATTTAAATCTTCTTTTCCTATCAACTAGTTTCGCAAACATTTATAATTTATAAATTGCATTCAATTTATTACTTATATTTATACGACTGCTTCTAATGTAATGTTTTCAATCAATGATTCAAAAACAGACAAAATGAGTATTAAATGGATACAAGTGTTTATGCCCTGTATTTCAAGCAAATCATCTGAAATACCTGTGGTGTGAGTGGGGATGAGAGAGGTTCTGGTGGTGAGATGACGTCCCACATCGCCCGCTTCAACCTCTTGACGTCCATCTTTTTGGCGAACTTAGCGAACTGTATGTTAATCTGTTGGAGTTCGTAGGGCTGGTCCACCATATTGTCGCCCGTGAACGCACTGAACAGATCATTGGTGTTGGCGTTCAGCTGAGATAAGGGCATACTTTGGCCCAAATCTAACGGATCAGTGAACCCACCGGTGGGTATGTCGTCGTCGTCGTCGTAATCGTATCGCTCCATCCCTGGAGATGCCGGCGCTCCGAACGAGTTGTTACTATTAATAGTGGTGTCCATCACCTCCTCATGGCTTTTGGCGCACTGGAAGATGGACTCGGGTTTTATGAAAGAACGCGCCAACACTTTGGGGTCAAAGCCGTGATCGGCCGGCAATTTGAGTTCACTGTTGTTTGAGTGCCACTTCTGAAGGGTCGCCACTTTGAGCTTCTGGTCGTTGCCGGCCATCCGATCGCTCTCCTCCTCATCGAACTCCTCCTTATAGTGCTGTTCGGGAAACAGTTTCCGCTGTCGACGCGGTTTATCGCCGTTCATATCGACTCCCTGTCCCTCTACTCTGTTTTTGTGCCAAAACGGCATTCGCTTCCAATGCAGAGGTCCGGCCCATGAGCTCAACAGTTTGGGGTTGAAATACGTGTAGTCATTGGGTTTGTCGGACAACATTTTGACGAGATCTCCGACGCCCTGCATATTCACCGCCCGAATCAGCGACTTCTTGGTGGTGGCGTCGGGGGCCTCGGGAGCGCCCGCATCGTCGCTATCGTCGTCATCGTTAATATCATTGTCGAAGATATCTCCGCCCATATCTTCGNTCAATTCGGCGCTCAATCCCCGCGTTTCGCTCAACAGAGAGGCCGTCGAAAGCTATCAGAAGCGCAAGAGTTTGGGATTAAGTGCACCGAAAGCCACACCAATTCAGGAGAGGGATGAACGCGAAGAGAGACGACTGCGACAGACGGAGAGGGCTGTCCAACAGAGACGCAGTGTCGCCGGTCTGACCGCGACGCCCGGCCGCTCGCACACGGCGTCGGCCGCCACTACCGGTCTGTCTGTGGATCAGTTGAGGGAACACTACACCCATTGCATCCAATTGTCGGCCAATAATAAGATCAACATTAAGAACGCTTTTGGTCTTCATTTGATTGACTATATGTCTGAATTGAATAAACAGAGCGAACAGACACAGGGCGTCAACTTCAAGCTGGCGGCCAGTACTCTGGATGCCGGCGCTAAGATATACTCGAGTCGAGTGGACTCAGTCCACGCAGAGGCACATAAAGTGGCCTCAAGTCTAGTGATGGCTCTCAATAAGGACAAGAATGCGGCCAATAATGGTGTCGATGACAATATGGACACTCATGACGACAACCACATGGATGACCAAAACGAAGGAATGGATGACTCGGAAGGACAGCCGAAGCCGAGGAAGAAGAGGACAACTCGAAAGAATGTGAAGACAATCGCACAAAATATCGAGTCTTTGAATGTGGCCAAAGTTGAGGCCAATGTTGAGATCGATCCCGTCTTTCATCACTTATCCGCTGCTTTCGACTGCGGAAGCGTTAACTCACTTTTGATGGCAAACCTTAAGTGCAGTCCTTCAGGAATGCTGTTATTGGACTCGAACTCATCACTTAATTTTGACGACTATTTCGGTAATAAAGAGCTGAGACTTCAAAATATTGTCAAATTTCACACCGAATTGAGTGAAATAGCGAAGTCTTCGGCACAGATATGTTCGAAACTGTCGGCCTTCCAGTTCCTCAACCGAAAAGATGGCATTGATCTCATTCCTCGTGAGGAAGACCCGTCGTTTACCCGAAGAGATAGTTTTGCTTTCGATTTGAACGCTGAAGTCGAAGACGTGGATGACATGGAGTGCGAAGATATGGGCGGAGATATCTTCGACAATGATATCAACGATGACGACGATAGCGACGATGCGGGCGCTCCCGAGGCACCGGACGCCACCACCAAGAAGTCGCTGATTCGGGCGGTGAATATGCAGGGCGTCGGAGATCTCGTCAAAATGTTGTCCGACAAACCCAATGACTACACGTATTTCAATCCAAAACTGTTGAGTTCATGGGCCGGACCTCTGCATTGGAAGCGAATGCCGTTTTGGCACAAAAACAGAGTAGAGGGACAGGGAGTCGATGTGAACGGCGATAAACCGCGTCGACAGCGGAAACTGTTTCCCGAACAGCACTATAAGGAGGAGTTCGATGAGGAGGAGAGCGATCGGATGGCCGGCAACGACCAGAAGCTCAAAGTGGCGACCCTTCAGAAGTGGCACTCAAACAACAGTGAACTCAAANAAATTGAAAATTGTGACCAAATTATGTCGAGATTGTTGTATACCTCGAGATCTGTGACTTTTCTCAATACTTTGTGACTCATGAATGTCTTCAGAAGACATTATCTCATTTAATGATTATATAACTGTTTAACTTTTGAATGAAAATCTTATTTATAAAAATTCTTGTTTAATGGTTTGAAAACTTTTTTAACTTTAAAGAAGTCATGAAATTTGTTATAAAAACTCATGTCTTCTAATTTTGTCCACTGATAGACCATCCAAGAGCTGATCCACTAAAACAATATTTGCACACAAATGTCAAACAAGAATTAAATCAATAATATTTCTAATAGTGTTTATAATATTATATTTTATGTTTCCATAGCTTTTATCGATTGACTAAATTCTTGTCCATATATGCCTAAAATTCTGTGCTAATTATGTAATAATGAATTTTTAAATAAATTAATATTTTAATTGTTTCCATTTTGCTATTTACAAAAAAATATAAGTCATATAGTTAAATATCCTTGTTAATTTGGTAATGAGAATAATAAGCAAATTCCTTACAGTATGTAACAGTTATGCAAGAATCATGTGAACGCACGTATGAATAGTGAACGCAATATATGGACGACCCCTGAGTGTAGTGACGGTTACCGCCATTTATAGTTTTCGCGCATTTATTGCATAACAAGTGCTTTGCTTTCAAACTGTTGTCTGTTTTGCCAAACATTTCATTCGTTAATCACTCGTTATATTGATTGTTATAATGTTTGTCTTCGCGGTGACCATCACTTGCCTCACCACCGATCTCTTCACCCGTAATCTCTAAGGTATGCCACCATTTGTACGCAAACCGCTGTTTCACTGATCAGTCGATTGTCCATCACTTGTCACTGAATCCACTGATTGTCTCCCAAATGGTATTGATTTTAATGAATGATTGAATCGCAGAACCGATGGTCAGAGCGACTGAAATGCCATTAAAGCGAAAGGAGAGTAACAAACGATACATCAGTTCCGACTCTGAAGACAGCAGTGTTTGCGAGACACCGAAGAAGGAGTCGACAGTTGGCGCCAAACGATTGGCCGACCGGAAGGGCGTCTCAGAGATGGTTAACCCCAACGATAGTTACGACATTCGGCTCACGAATGGCAAAGTGAACGGCATTTCAATGGATGCCTCGACTATTGGTCTCAATTCGGCGCTCAATCCCCGCGTTTCGCTCAACAGAGAGGCCGTCGAAAGCTATCAGAAGCGCAAGAGTTTGGGATTAAGTGCACCGAAAGCCACACCAATTCAGGAGAGGGATGAACGCGAAGAGAGACGACTGCGACAGACGGAGAGGGCTGTCCAACAGAGACGCAGTGTCGCCGGTCTGACCGCAACGCCCGGCCGCTCGCACACGGCGTCGGCCGCCACTACGGGTCTGTCTGTGGATCAGTTGAGGGAACACTACACCCATTGCATCCAATTGTCGGCCAATAATAAGATCAATATTAAGAACGCTTTTGGTCTTCACTTAATCGACTATATGTCTGAATTGAATAAACAGAGTGAACAGACACAGGGCGTCAACTTCAAGCTGGCGGCCAGTACTCTGGATGCCGGCGCTAAGATATACTCGAGTCGAGTGGACTCAGTCCACGCAGAGGCACATAAAGTGGCCTCAAGTCTAGTGATGGCTCTCAATAAGGACAAGAATGCGGCCAATAATGGTGTCGATGACCATATGGACACTCATGACGACAACCACATGGATGACCAAAACGAAGGAATGGATGACTCGGAAGGACAGCCGAAGCCGAGGAAGAAGAGGACAACTCGAAAGAATGTGAAGACAATCGCACAAAATATCGATTCTCTGAATGTGGCCAAAGTTGAGGCCAATGTTGAGATCGATCCCGTCTTTCATCACTTATCCGCTGCTTTCGACTGCGGAAGCGTTAACTCACTTTTGATGGCAAACCTTAAGTGCAGTCCTTCAGGAATGCTGTTATTGGACTCGAACTCATCACTTAATTTTGACGACTATTTCGGTAATAAAGAGCTGAGACTTCAAAATATTGTCAAATTTCACACCGAATTGAGTGAAATAGCGAAGTCTTCGGCACAGATATGTTCGAAACTGTCGGCCTTCCAGTTCCTCAACCGAAAAGATGGCATTGATCTCATTCCTCGAGAGGAAGACCCGTCGTTTACCCGAAGAGATAGTTTTGCTTTTGATTTGAACGCTGAGGTCGAAGATGTGGATGACATGGAGTGCGAAGATATGGGCGGAGATATCTTCGACAATGATATTAACGATGACGACGATAGCGACGATGCGGGCGCTCCCGAGGCCCCCGACGCCACCACCAAGAAGTCGCTGATTCGGGCGGTGAATATGCAGGGCGTCGGAGATCTCGTCAAAATGTTGTCCGACAAACCCAATGACTACACGTATTTCAACCCCAAACTGTTGAGCTCATGGGCCGGACCTCTGCATTGGAAGCGAATGCCGTTTTGGCACAAAAACAGAGTAGAGGGACAGGGAGTCGATATGAACGGCGATAAACCGCGTCGACAGCGGAAACTGTTTCCCGAACAGCACTATAAGGAGGAGTTCGATGAGGAGGAGAGCGATCGGATGGCCGGCAACGACCAGAAGCTCAAAGTGGCGACCCTTCA